ATTTATTTAAGTTTTCTAATTATTAAAAATTCTTGATTTTAAAAATATAAATTATAAAAAATTTTAATAAGCTAAGTATTTAAGTAGTCTTAAATAAAGTTGTTTATTATACTCTTAAGTATATATATTTAAATTTTTATATTATTTAAATAAATATTTATGAAAAAAATTAAAAATTATAATTTTTTTTGTAATGCACTGTATTTTATTATTGGATTTACTTATACAATTTGAATTTACTAAAAATTTTGAAATTAATAATACCTTTCTCTTGAAATCTCAGATAATTATTAAATCAATTAAAGTATTTTCTGAACTGGTTAATATAACTATTAACTTAGATTTTAATTGATTAAATATATTTATTATTACTTTATTAAAAGATAAATTTGAAGTTAATGTTAGTAAGAAAATATGAAGAAAAAAAATAAGAGTTTATAAATTCTGATAGTTCAATCACTTCTGAAAAAAAATCTGAATCACCTGCTCTTATACCTGATGAAACCAAATCTATCTTGAAAAAAAATTGGCTAATTAAACTTGAAGAAGCTATATTATCAATTTATAATAATTTATTAGATAATAATAAAATGATAGCTTAATATTATAAATTGAATATTTGCTTTTAATTTAACTATATTAATATATAAGAATTATAGTAAATATAAAATGAAAAATTAAAGATATTATTAGAAAGCATATATATAATAAATTATATAATATTGCTTAAAAGATCTTTTTCATTTATAAATTTGAAGAAGAAATATTTAATAATTGATTTGAGTTTATATTAATCAAGTTATATTACTTGAATAAGAAAGAAATATTAAAAATTATTAATTAATTTTTGCAGGAGCAAAAATTTTCTGAAAAAAATCATATATTATTATAGTAATATAAAATTTCTTAATTCCATAATCTTTTATTAATTATGTAAAATTCTATTTTTCTATAATTTTATATTTATCTTATAAATATTTCTATTTTATATTATACATTTATTTTTATTAATATATTTATTATCATATTTCTATTTTTAAATATTATATCTTATTTTTTTATTTGAGATCTATATTTTTGAGATACTTATAATATAATTTTTATGTACATAGTAAAATAGTATATTGAAAGATCATTTTTAATTTTTGGTAGAATCATAATATTTGACATAAAAATTATAAACATTTATAAATATTAATATTTTGAAGATTATAAATATCTATATATATTTATAAATATTGACATTTTAAAAATTATAAATATTCATATATATTTATAAATATCAATATTTTAAATATCTTTTAATATTTTCAATATCTATATTTCTAATATTAATATTTAAATTATAATACTTTAATTATATAATTTTTTATAATAATATATATATATTTAGTTAGTATTAACTAGTAATACTATAATAATTTATATATTTAAAAAATATATAAAAGAATCTGCTATCTCAGCTTGAAATAAATAGTTTTGAATTGAATTATTTGGAAAATATAATTAAAAAGCTTATTATTATAATAATAGTAATTTTTTTGAAAGATTTCTTTTCTAATTATACTAGTATTCTTTCTCTCACTCAGTTTTATTCCTTTAATTATATAAAGTTAATTTTTAATTTGGATTATAATGTTATATTAATTTTTGATTTTTGATATTATTTTGAAAATAAAAGATCTCTATTATAAATAAGTCATACTTTTTATTTTATTTATTTTGTTTTTGAGAGTAAAAAACCTCTACTATAAATAAGTCATACTCTTTTTGTTTAGTTATTTCATGATTTGCTTTAGTTTTTACTTTTTTTTAGTTAAAATTAAAGATGACTTCTCAACTAGTTGCAGCTTGTGACAGCTAATCAGAGAATTATAACAGAGTTGCAGCAGTCAATCAGAGAATTATAATAGAGTTGTGGCTAATTGTGGCTCCTATCACTAGTCATAATCTTCTTTGATTAATAGTAACTTTACTATTTAATCAACTTAAATCCTGAATAGTGACTTTATTAATTAATCTTTATAATTTCTCTGATTTATTTATTTATTTTATTATTTATTTTACCCTTTTAAAGACAATATCTGTAGATATTGGCACAGATCTTAAAAATTTTTGTCATTATTGAAAGTATAGTCTAATTCATCTCTCTTTACCTTTTAATTAATTCAGTCTCTCCCAATCCTATATCATTAAGATGAATTCAAGTGAAAACCCACTTACCAATTCACCATAACAATATGATCATGATGTATGAAACAGCTCTTCTGCCTTCTGCTAAGAATCTTTTTGGTAAAGATTGTGATAATTGGATTCTGCAGAAAGATAATGATCCAAAATACCCATTTGAAAATCACAAAGACATGGAAAGAAGAAAATGACATCAAAGTTCTCCCCTGGCCATCGATGTCACCTGACCAAAACCCGATTGAGAATGTCTGGGGGCTTATGAAAATGAACCTGGCAAAGAAAAAAATTAGACCACTTAGGGTTTTAAATGGTGAAATAACATGGGAATGGAATCGATTACCTAAGGAGTATGCAGCTAATTTGGTAAAGAGTATGGGACGTCGCGTGGAGGCCCTAATTGAAGCTGAGGGCGATTATACCATGCATTAATTTTCATGTAATGTCATGTGTTTTCAAATAAAAAAAAATTTTTTTTCTTACTATATCTCCGTGTCGAGTTAGGGGTGCGGGGAAACTTTTGTCGGGCACTGTATTTACCTATGTTGTTACACATGCAGATCAGGCGTTACTTTTTGAGGCGACTGTACATTTAGAACATAAAAATCATTTTTACCAAAGAATATAATAACGTAACGGTACCTGCGTATTAAATTTCCGTTATCGTTCTTGTATATATCAGTATATTATTTATCCTTTATTTCTCCACTATTTAATTCAATCGATAGAATATTAACTTCTGGTAAGTAAAATAATTAGTTTTTCCAGTACATGTAATTTGTTGTGCTTCGAGTTTGGCTCTGCACACGATGTCGATATGTGCATGAAACTTAAAATTGTGGATAGACCGGAGCACTGTACGCAATCGAAATATTGTCATACATTATCATGGAATTGCTAACAAAAATCTGTTCTTTGTGAATACCTAATCTTTCAAAAATAAGCAATAAAGAATTCTATTAGATTTATGTGGTGGAAATGTTCGCAATAATTTATGAACCAGAATAATGTTATTGAATTCTTGAAAAGCAACACGAAATTTGTGTCAATCTTTGAATTCCGAATGGTTAAGAACCTCTTGAGTGCTAAATAATACTATTATTTTATTCATGCATTTAACGTCATCTCAATTAAATTATTTTTGTTTTAGTCATTAGCTGAGAGGAATGAGTGATAAATCAAATTTTTGAAGATTGGATCAATTGATAAAATTCTTTTCTGAATTAAAATACAAATTTAATTAGGAATAAATTTTTGTACATGTATTAGCGTTAGGTAATGTAACTTTAAAGGATTTAAAGAACATCCACCTGAGATGAGTAATTAGTATATAAAATATATACATGTTTTTATATATATATATAAACATAAAATATATATTGACCTGATAGATTCCCTACCTACTCTAATATTCCTTAAGGGTAAATTCTGTATTCATTCCTGAAGCTTCTTTTATAGATTTCACACGTTCGGATCAAAAGTTTTTCTTTAAGATGGGTCATCGTCTTTCTAAACTCAAAATTTTATTTAAACAAACTTCGCTAAATGTCATCCATAGACCAAATATAATCAGAAGGGAACTGGAAGCGAGATTTTGGTTGAAGTTCTCCAAATTTTTCCTTATCGAGTAATTGAGGGTCGTATATTTCTAGTGGATAATGAACGATATGTTATGTCTTGCGATATTCCTGAGAAAGAGCGTCTTGTAACGCAACATGAGCTATAAAAGAATATGGAATGATAATTTCTCGTCTCCGATACACGAAACCAAGGAGGAATGCGAGTCCTTGATGTTGGGTAAGTCGATCAGCTTCTTTCTTTATTGCCATCTTATTTATTAAACTCATTGATCACAATTGGACAGTTGCGGCTCAGGCGCCTGGATTCTCGATATGGCTAAGGAATATCCTGCATCAACATTTTTGGGTATTGATATAATGGAAATATCATCAAACATTATACAGCCCTCAAATGCTGGTTTCTTCAATTCAATGGATTAAACGGTTTACCATTTCCAAAATAAAGGATTTATTATATGTTCTAACAATTGATAATACTAAAAAATATCCTGTTAACATGTATATATTATATTTAATAGTGAAATGTTTGATTTCATATATCAACGATTCTTATGGACAGCTTTTACACCGAACCAATGAATACAGTTAATACATGAATTAATAAGGATTACAAAAAAAGGACGGACGGATAGAATTGATGGTAAACAGCATTCTTAAACAATGCTACATATTTCACTAGAATAAATTACTGACGTTTTGATGAATAGGAAATTGAAGCAAAAATTCACAATCCCGGTCCAATTGCTAAAAAATTTGGCGATGCTGGTATGTGTAAATATTTCATATTCAATTGTACTTACATTTATTAATTAAGTATCATTTAATACTAGCACAACAACATTTGATTTCAAATGGAATAAATCCAAAAATATACAGACAAATCCGAAAATATTATAGTGAATAGCAATAAATTCGAATTAATAAAGATCTTTGAAAAGAGAACACCGCTTGGAAACTGGCAGCAAGCATCACATGGAATGAGGGTAATCGAAAAAAGGATAATAAAATTCAGTGGTTTGAATATGATGTTAATTGGCTATTATTTTCTAGGCACTTGAGAATACCGTAGCAGCATTAAATCTTTTCAAGTCGCATTTAAAGCGGTGTTGGGTGTTGACGATCACGAATATAAAGTAATGCTGGAACAATTTATTAAAGAGGGATTATTCAAGGACTTTTCGTTTTGTTTGTGTGAAAGCAAAAAATACCATTATATATTCATAAATGATTGCAAGTTCATTTTAATTTACAAATAAATTATCGAATGTTTTAAACGGCTCTTGTTCATCATCTTTATCTAGTATCGAGCTATGTTTTCTTTGCGATGCAACGGAAAAATAATATCTTCGACAACGAATCTTAAAAAGTGCTTTACTATGTACAAACTATATCAGGAACCCGCGTATTAAAAGAAATATGACATGCAACGATCAAAAGTCATAATCATTACACTATGTACATACATGTACAGTGGCGATCAAAAGTAATGCAACGCAAAATTAAAAATCGTTAAATCATAATATATTTATAAGTAGCTAACAAAATTTAAATAAAATTAATAAATATGGTACATTAATAGTACCAGTTTTATTTAATAAAATTTAATTTACTATTATTAAACACAATTTCGAGATAAATACGCAAGCTTGCACAAATTAGTGTTGCATTTCTTTTGATCTTTTATTCGGGAGATCAAATAGTAAGTAAATGCTACACAGAAGCCGCAAAATAAACAACTGTTTTGTTATCTTTTTTTTCCTTAAATTATGTTACAGCTTTTTAATAATAAAAAACAAACATCAAAACATCATACAACTCTTGAAGAAAGAGCTGAAATAATTGTTTCACTTCAAAATGGATACACCACAAGAGAAATAGTAAGAACTCATAAAATTAGTCCTTCCACCATCTACATATTAATAAAAAATGGTGTGAACAACACATTTTAAATGATTTAAGTAAGTCTGGTCATCCATAATTATTAAATGACCAGTTAGAAAGAATAACAGTCCATTTTATTACATCCCATGACTGTTCTACCACTATTGCTATTCAAAATCATCTTTGTGAAACTGAAAATATCAAAATTTCAGAGCGAACTGTTCATTGTACATTAAAAAAATGGTTTAGTAGTGAGAATAAATAAAAAAAACCATATCTGAAGCCCAAACACCAACAACATCATCTTGAGTTCACCAAAAATATAAAAACTGGACTTATGAAGATTGGTCAAAGATAATCTGGTCTGATGAATCTAAATTTCAGGTTTTTGGATCTGATGGAAAATAATATTATTGAAAAAGAACAGGTGAGTCATTAAAAAGTCATTATATTAAACCTATGGTAAAATTCAGTGATGAAAAAGTAATGATATGGAGTTGTTTCACCTTTTGTGGCATTGGTAACTTTTGTAAGATTGATAAGAACATGAATGGCATATTATATCAACAAATTCTTGAAGAAGATCTTATGAATACTATTGAAGAACATGGGTTAGCTATCAATGAGATCATTTTCTAACAGGACAATGATCCCAAACATACAGCCAATTTGATGAAAGAATAGTTTGATAATGATAATATTACTATTTTAGATTGGCTGGCACAATCATCCAATCTAAATCCAATTGAACATTTATGGAATGAAGTAGATCATTATCTTCAGTGTCTTCCTAGATCAATTTCAGGTATGAAAGACTTATGGGAAAAAATACAGCTAGTTTGGGAGGAAATTGATGTGAATTATTGTACAAATTTAATTTGTTCTATGCCAAAAAGAATTTGTGATGTAATAAAAGCACATGGTGGTTATACTAGATGGTAGTATATTGGGTATAGTTAAAAAATAAAAAAATATGATGTTTTTATTTTATATTAAGGATTATACAAATTTATATTAAAAACAAGCAAATATAATGCAACACTAAAAATTAAATAAATGTTGCGATTGTGATATAATTGGTTTAATTATCCATGTTGAATTTATCATATTTAAGTTATTTGCATATACGTAATTAAATCTATCAACTATAATTTGATGTTCTTAAGTCTGTGCAAAGATATCGCGATTTAATAATTTTTAATTTTGTGTTGCATTACTTTTGATCGCCACTGTATGTATTAAGATCTAGATCTACTATTTCCGCGTCGGTATTGAATTCTTAACGTCAATGCTCGCTTGATTTGAAAAATTTGATTTCATTCATATTTTCATATATAAAATAAAATAAATTAGTTTAGTCTTAAATAATTGATAAAACATAATTTACAATATGGATTTTTTGACTTCGTACTATTATTTTGCGCAGATATATATTACTGAATGTTTTTATAAATAAATATCTATTCTTAGTATTTAATTTAAATTATTTGAATAATCATATCAATATCATGTTACGAAAGCAATCAGACACTAGTATACAATGATTCAACCCTATACAAATTCAATATATGGCTCAAAATATAGAGCATATTCATGTCATGTGTGTCTAATTAGAGATCATTTAGTTTTCGAATACAGTTAATCTCCTCCGTATGCAAATTCCCGTTTTTGATTCATCTGTGTTCGATAAAACCTCCATTCAATTTTTCACCCACGTTTCCTATTGGTCATCATTCGCAGTAACCAATAAGAATGCATAAATTTTTGATAAATCCGGCAAAAAACTCAAAAAAAAATGAAAACAGATTAATTAAAAATGACTGCGCGGCAATTTTATACGGTGCATGACATCTATGCTTATCAAACAATTTAAAATAACTTTGAACTCTGTCCAATATTCCAAATTTGGCGATTTTAACAAACGAACCATGAAAATGATTGTTTTAAAGATAAGCTTTCATATTCAAGGTTTATTTTTTTAATTACTTGTAAAAATGATCACTTTTATTAAATAAATTTTTATTTTCTGTCTATTTTAGCAGCTATCGATCATTTTATATCACGTGAGCATGATCGAGAAATTAAACCAACGGAATGAATAAGAAAAATGCATTTGTCATTTAAAGGTGACTTTCATCAGTGTTATATCGTCGTAGTAATAAATAGATTCGCCCATAACTTTTGAATTTAATGAGCTGATAAAAATTAATAATTTGACTTAAAACATTAAAGTTCGTCATTTGAAATTTCAGACTGATCTACATTTTTGAGGAGTGCAGATAAACCTCTTTAAATACCTCTATAAGTGCACGCGCTCTCTAAATGCACAGCATGACTTGGTAGGAGCTCTATATTTTACTCTCCGTAAATGCATACCTTCCTTAAATGCACACTCTACCTTCTTTTCGAGGGGGTGCATTTAAGAACTCTCCGTAATAAAATTGGCTCACCGTCATTTTTTTTTAATTAATATTCTATTCCAAGCATCGTTTTTTTAGTCAGCTTTGTTTTGCATTCTTATTGGTTGTTGTGAAAATCTGCGTATTCTTATTGGTTACTGAATGATGACCAATGGTGAAAATTAGTAAATGCAGATGATAATGAATCAAGAATGGAAATTTTTTACCAACCGTATTCACATTGTTGGATCAAAGTAATTTTTTAAGAATGTGATGATTTTATTCTTGAAAACGGGGTGATTTCCATAATGTAATGATTTTGTAAAGAGTTTCAATTATTATCTGAGTCAAAGATTAAATTTCATTATAATGGTATAATTCTAAAGTTCATAAGAGAAATTTGACTATTAATAACTATTAATAATATTAATTTCTTATTCCATTCATGCTAAATTTTTAAGTTATTACCACATGTATACAAATTTTTACTTGAATATATTAATATGTAATTTTGATATACATAAAAAGCTATTATAAAATATTATAAATGATTCTAAAATATAATATTATTCAGTCACTATGGATGTACCACATGTAGTACATGTTTTCTCATTATGTAACCCAAAATAATTAATAGAAAGCGATTTATGCACATTTAATCAAACAGCTGCAATAGATTTATTACAAAACATCAAGCGCAAAAATTTTACATCACCATAATCCATAATATTAGTTATAGAAATAGCTATAAACCTGCCAATTCTCAATTTTCATCTCTAATTTACGCATCAAGACTAAATTGATACTACAGACTGTGACGGAAAGTCATTTGATTTTCACATGTCTCCTAAAAGTGGACGGGGAGTCTGGTAGCTTAGCGGAAGAATTAGGCATATTATTATCCAAAATGAGGCCTATACTTCGAAAACTTGCAGCTGGTGTGGAAATGTTCAAAAGATAGGAGGGACTGAAGTGTACAAGTGCCGAAATTGTGGAAAATGCGCTTGGGAAATCTTTCTCCGGATTTACGACGGATTTTGACAGATTATGGGTTTGAAAGACAAAAGATTTTCTGCTGACTCGTTACGTGGAAGCAATATATGATGGTGAAGTTAAAAAGTGATAGTAGAGCCGTTGGAATTAATTCAAGTATTTAGAAATTTTGAAGATGCTGCATCTCCATGGGAGCAGACTGGTAAGATATTCATCAGTGATAATATTCTCTTACGTGAATTGTTTTTTTCAACTTTTTTAGGACCTGGACGTGACGATCGCTCAGAATCATTCAAAGTTGAAAGTTTACTTGCAAAACCGGCAGCTGAAACTGAAAGAAACAACGTCTTAATTGTTAAAGCTCTTGTTGATATTGATAAATAAATCATTGAGTTTATTAATCTCTGTATATTATTGTTTTGAAAGTTATCGATTATATCAAATTAAATAACTGTAAATCCAGATTCCTAATTTTCGTGATTTCTATTTTATTCAGCAAGATTTTATTCATGGTGTTGTTACCCCATTGTTTTAAACAAGAATTAAAATGTCCTCATCTGTAACAAATAAGCCACCATATAAGATAAACCGAAAGTACCTGTTTCTGCGCCGGGCATTGCCATTTATGCGTTAAAATCCATTCGCATAGAAGTTGTGATTTACCGCACCCATCATTGATTATTTCATCATTGGTGCTACATTCTATCTTTATCTCATTTACTACTTTAATTGGTAGAAACTACGATTTATTTGCTGCCATAATGTAGTAAATGTATAATAAAATTATTATAGATAGTCTTTCACGTGAAAACTTTTATAACAACAATACATATATTATCAAGTAGTCTAATTACATAAACACTCATCAATAAAAATGTACTAACCATTTGTCTTTCAGACGGAAGCATTATCCGCTTTTACGCCGCGCAAGAGCCTGGGAGAGATGGTGTGTTGATGATCTTTTGAGACTTTTTTGTTTCTTTCTGCAAAAAGTATAACCTGAAATAGCAAAATATCATCCTCACAAATAACAAGAAATCTACTCAAATCGTTACTGCAAATTAATGAAATAATAAATGTACATTAATAGATGTAAATATTTGAGAAGGTTGAATCAATTGATAATCTGCATCATTCTATAATAACTTTTATTCTTTAATAATTATCATTTTTTGTACAAATTTAAATGTGGATACTTCTCTGATTTTGTTATTAGGAGTATTACTAGCGTCGATTGCGCAAAAATATCGAAATAGATAAACACAAAACATCTTGAAAAAAATATCGTATATACGCGCATAAAGATCCTGTTTCTTCGTAATGATATTGGTTACAATTTTTTAAGAATTCTTTTATATTATAATAGCAAGCAAATTAAAGTAACATTATTAATATTTAATAATATTATTTTATCCAAAAATCGAACTACGTATGTAATTGTCGCTGATTAAAATAAAATAGGGTAGATGTTTAAATAATCATAGGTCAATTTAATACAATACGTCACCCTAACCCTTTTTTTCCAAAAAAGAACCAAATTTCATTTAATCTATTTTAATCTGTCACAAAGTTACGAGAATAGTTCATTTATAAACGTAAAATGGTATTGCTTTTGCACTAGCATATTTTTAACCTGTTGTTATTGCTTTAATTGTCTGTGATCTACCAAATGCATAGGAGAAGATATCGGAATAAGCGAAAAAAATCTTCACTATAGCTTATAACGGTAGGGCAATATATAACCTCGCTGTATCGAGTTGAAGGTTATTGATTATTCTGAGAAATTCTTTACTATATTAAAAGTTTCACTGAGAATTTATTATAACGAGAGTGAACTGTAATTATTTCTGAAGTTTCTTTTATCAATTTCACGCATTCGGACCAAATTTTTTCTTTAAGATGGGTCATCATATTTCTAAACAAACCTCGCAAATTACATTAAGGAAAAATGGAAGCGAGCTTTTGATTAACTATCTCGAAATTTATCCTTATATAAGAATTGATGGGCGCATATTTCAGGTGGATAATGAACGATATGTTATGCCTTGCGATATTCCTGAGAAAGAGCGTCTTCAAACGCAACATGAGCTATATAAAATAATATGGAATAGTAATTTCTCGTCTCCAATACACGAAAAATTACAAGAAGGAGGAATGCGAGTCCTTGATATTGGGTAAGTTGATTAACTTCTTACTTTATCGCTATCTTATTTATTAGACTCATTGATTATTATTGGATAGTTGCGGATCAGGCACCTGGATTCTCGATATGGCTAAGGAGTATCCTGCATCAACATTTTTGGGTATTGATATAATGGAAATATCATCAAACATTATACAGCCCTCAAATGCTGGGTTTCTTCAATTCAATGTATTAAACGGTTTACCATTTCCAAAGTAAAAATTAATTATATGTGCTAATAATTGATAATATTAAAAAAAATCCTGTTAACATATATACATTATTTTTAATAGTGAAACGTTTGATTTCATATATCAACGATTTTTATGGGCAGCTTTTACGTCGAAACAATGGATACAGTTAATACATGAATACATAAGAATTACAAAAAAGGGCGGAATGATAGAATTAATGGTAAACAGGCATTCTTAAGTAATTTTAAACATTTACTGAAATAAACTATTAACTTTTTGATTAATAGGATTTCGAAGCAAAAATTCATAATCCTGGTCCAATTGCTAAAAAATTTAGCGATGCTTGTATGTGCGAATACTTCAAAATTCAATAATTATAATTGTATCTATTATTAATTGATCATCGTTTAAATACTGTTAGTACAACAACATTTGATTTCAAATGGAATAAGTACAAAAATTCAAACACAAATCCGAAACATTATAGAAAGCAGCGATAAATTCGAATCAATAAAGATCCTTGAAAAGAGAACACCGGTTGGAAACTGGCAGCGAAAATCAGATGGAATACATGGAACGAAGGTAATCGAAAAAAAAGATAAATCATTGTTAAAAAATTCAATGGCTCGAAGATGATGTTAATTGGCTGCATTTTACTATTTTCCTAGTTACTTGATAATACCGTAGCAGCATTAAAAACTTTAGAAGTCGCATTGAAAGCGGTATTGGGCGTTAACGATCAAGAATATAAAGTAATGCTGGAGCAATTTACTCATGAGGGATTGAAGTATAAAATGTATTTAAAGACTTTTCGTTTTGTTTGCGTGAAATCAAAAAATACCTTTATATGTTCATAAAAGATGCATTGTTTCTAAAATTCATTATACGTTACAAATAAATTATCATGATTTAAACGGCTCTTGTTCATCTTCCTTCTCTATTTTTCTTTTGTAAAAGAGAAATTATATCTTCTATAATAAATCTTAACAGAAAATCATCTGCTTCGCTACGTACATAACTATATAAGGAACCCGTGTATTAAAAGAAATATGACATACAGTCAACAATCTTTACAGATTTACATGTTCAGTACCCACAGCAAGTATCGCGTGTGTAACCATTTTTTATTTATCAAAATTTCTTCACTTTGTTTACCTGCTGCCACTTCTTCTACATTATAATTTCGTTAGGCAAAAAAATAATGTCCACCTATACGCAGCTTAACGAAATTGAAAGGGAAAAATTTTAGCGTACATGGATACCACAAATGCCGCTCAAATCGCAAAAATACTCGGATATAACCCTACAACGGTACGTCGCTTTATAAACAAATATAAACGAACTGGAAAAAGTGAAAACATATCACATTTAGGAAGACCATCAACCTTAAATAATCACGAAAAGAATTTACTTATACGTGAAGCTAGCGAAAAACGACGTTCACCGCTATGCGCAATTTAGGCCTCACTTGTAGTTTGTTAACCGCCGTAAATGTATTGCACAACTCCGAACTTAACTCACGTATTGCAGCAAAGAAATCCTATATCTCAGAAACACATGCAAAAGCTGGTATTAAATGGTGTGAAGAAAATAAAGATAAATCAGCTTATGATTGGTTGAAAATAATTTTCTCTGATGAAACCAGTGTGGAGATTGGAAAGCAGTCACAGCAACCAAGAGTTTAGCGGTATCCCGGAGAAAAGTTTAACGTTAATTGTTTGGCGTCTACCTTTAAAAGTGAATGAAAATCTGTAATAGTTTGTTGATGTTTCGTGGGAAAATTAAAAGGACCATTAATTTTTTATGATGAATAAAAAAAAAGAACTGCAAATACTTATCTCGAAATCTTAAAAACTCAATTACTTCCATTCCAGAACGCAATTAGGGAATTAACTGGAAGTTACGCAATCTTTCAACATGAGAATGCGCCGATACATACAACGGGAAAAATTAAGGATTGGCTAACGGAAAATAAAATCGTAATTATTAATTGGCCGGCGAATTCCCCAGACCTGAATCCAATAGAGAACATTTAGAAGACATTAAAGGATAATATTCAAAGAAATGAGAACTTTTTGATGACTGTGGATGAACTTAAGATTACACAGAAGATGGAGTGGGAAAACTTGATGTGGCCATTTTAGAACGGGTTACTGGATCAATGCCACGAAGAATTAATGCGGTATTGGAGTCAAATGAAGGGCCGATTAAATATTAAATAGATTTTATTTTTTATATGGTGTATAAATTCAAATAAATTCAAAATGTTTATTTTTTAATTTTGCATCGGGCGATGCTTTCTGTGGGTACTGTACATGAACACGTGCATGTCCATCCTCTTCATCAGCGTTGTTGTGCACGTATCTGGTACATTATCGTTATCGATTTCTATGTAATGTACAACGATAACGATAAACTCTCGCTTTTCTTCATCAAAAGAAACAGATAATAAAATTAACCGAATAAAATGACACCTGTTTTGCTATTGAGTTCACACTCAAACAGGCTTGATGAATTTTACAAAAACTCAAACTATTGTGATATTTCGATTATTGTTGGTGAGAATCAAAACACCCTTCGCACTTTTTCAGCCCACTCAGCAAT